TGCCTTTCTCAGTAATTAAACCTTTATTTGCAACCACTAGTAATCAAATAGTTCTAATAATTGCCTACAGGTTTTCTGCGCGTCTTCACTACTTTGAGCTTGACGGTTTTCTCTCCATCACGCTGGTCTTCACTTCCTCTACACATTCTCGATGAGACTCAGGTCTGGACTCTCCAGCGTCTGCATATTGACCACCTTGGCTGTTATTTTTTAACATCAGTGTCTTGTTGGAAGGTCCAGTGCTGCCCAAGGGCAAGTTTTTCTGCAGAATCTTAATGTCGTCCTCTTTTTCTTACAATGTTGTTCCTCTGTCAAGGTTATCTGGCCCATCAGCTGAAAAACGCCCCCAAAGCAACACAGTTCCACCGCATGCTTGACCGTGAGGACGGCGTTCTTGGGGTTTCACGCTCCCTCTTTCTCTTTCCAAACTTAAGTCACGTCCCTGTGTCCTAACAAGTCCATTTTCACCCCATCTGACGGCCAAAAGCTTCCTTCTTTGTCCAGCTGAGCTTTTGTGCGTCCGTCTCGGAGAAGCGTCGTCCTCTTTGTTCGTCACGGAGATCAGCCGTGTTCAGTGTTTCCACCAGAGCTGCTCACATTCATCAGGATGGTTCTGATCTTTTGATTCTTCTTCCACCATTCTTGCCAGTGCAGGGGTCACTTGTGGCTTCCTACCATGACCTCTGAGACTCGTCACAATGTGGAACCACTTGTTGATGGTTTGCACCGTGTAGGCTTCCACTTTCTCCATCTTGTGTGCAACCACGATGCCCAACCAGAAGTCTTCACTGAGCTCTTGACTTGGAGAACTCCTGTGTCAACCTTTCTCAGTTTCTAATGTCGTAGGATGCTCTAGAACATGTCAGGAATGTTCAGGACCATTTAAAATGGTACAGAAGCTGCATTTCTTCAGAAACGTGCAGCAATTTCAAGGAGTATGAATAATTTTGGACACGGCATTTTAAGCAGAAAGGCAACAAAACACATAAATAGTTTAAATATATGATTAACATCTTTAATATGCTGCCTTTTGTCACTCGGTTGTGCCATTTCCAGGCAGAAGAAATATGATAATCACATTAAAACTCCACAACATTTCTCTTGGTGTTTTAGCGGGGAAAGCAGAATGAATTATGATCAAAACCTCAGGTATGACGGGGCTCTTTTTTATTCATTTAGTCACACTGAATAAAAGAAAAGGGGATGAAACAGCTAAAAGGGGCTCTTGAGTAACACTTAAATAATCTCTTAAGGCAAGCTTTAGTGCCATTAACTGCAAACAGCTTACAAAAACTAAAATTCCACCTTGAGATGAGTTTCTAGGTTCATGTTTTTTTTTTTTTTAATCTTGGCAAGAGCAGTTGTCACAACAATGCCGGCAACAGAATTCAAGTTTGTATTCGGCACAGATGGAAATCTTTCAAGTGTTGAGAAAAATGCACATTTTGACACCAACAATCAGGCAAAGCGCTGAGGAATCATTTGATCCAGTGAAAACCTGCAGGGTGGCTCGTCAGTGGACCTTGAGGTGAGATTATACAATGATGAAGTCATTATGTCTTGAGTGGTTGTGTTTGTTTCTGGATCAGTGGTGATGTCAATGATGAAAATACACGTTTCTTTTTGTAAAGACTGGTGGAAATCACACACAAACACTTGTCCATCTCCTACCATTCTCTTCTCCTTATCCGGGGTACCAGCAGGCTTTTTTTTTCTCCTCAGCAATGTTTCTCAGCTCCTGATGGGGGATCCTGAGGCGATCCCAAGTCTAGTTGAGATATGTAATGCCCCTAGCGAGTCCTGGATCAACCTTGAGCTTTCCTCCCAGTTGCCCAGAAAAAACCTCTAAAGGAAGGCGTCCGAGAAGCATCCTAATCAGATGTCGAACCACCTCAGATGACTCCTTGATGATGCGAAGGAGCAACAACTCTGCTCTGAGCTTCCTCTGGATGTCTTGAGCTCCTCAAACTATCCCTCAGGAGTCCAGCCAACCTGCAGAGGAAATGTGTTTCGGCTGCTTTCATCCACCATCTCATTGTTTCGGTCATTGCTCGGAGCTCATGACCGTAGATGAGGGTTGGATACATGAGTAGATCAAGAGCTTTAAACCAAAGGAGATCTTTTGCATCTGGGTCAATGACATGACGGCTATTTTTTCTGTCCAACTGAATTTTTTCCATTGAAAAAACACTCAAAATACAAAAAAAAGATAACATGTGTGTCTCGTACTTTCCCAGTACACAGACCTACTCTAAGTTTTCCAATCATTTTAATTATTAATGTTTTACTGCTATCTGAAGTGATAAAACATCATGTGGGGTGACCGTCCAGCCTTGATTTCTAGTTAGACAACTAATTTCAAATAATTTTAAACCAACTTAAATATGTCTTTTAACTTCCTTGGCATAATTTCTAACATGTTTTGCATTCATTTACAAAATTATTAATAATTTGCATGTGTATTTCCATCATAATGTACAAACAAATGTTGTCCTTACAAAGTCATATTATGAATTATCATCTGGGGCGACCATCAAAAAACCACAATTTTGGGACTTTTATTTTGGAACCATGACAAGGACAGGATATTGTATCAGCCGGAGACATCTATTACATGAGACAGGTGTGTAGGAGAAATCCAGAAGATTCAATCTGACTCCTACAAGTATACGACGTTTTGGTGTTAGACTTTCATCAGGCTGAGTTTTTATTTGTGGCCGGCATCAAAACATTGCTAGTACATGCATCTTTGCATGTTGTGCACCGTTCAGGAGTCTGATTGAATCAAGAGCTCTTCCTTCCCTTTTCACCACAGTGGTTTGGTGCAACGCCCCCATTACTGCTCATGCTGCCCCAGTTTCCTGCCCAGGAACTTGATAGATCTGCACATTCTAATGGAAGCAACAGTGTAGAGTTACATCTAAGTCTGTTTGAGGCAGACAGAAATTATTTTCATGGAAAAAGCGACTAAATATTTAACTTTGATTGACGGAGATGAGTTTTAGGGATTCAATCAATGACTGGAGAATGACTTTAAAGTCATTGTCTTCTTAATGGATCCTGCCAAAGGTCTCAACACTTGACATTAATGGTCTCTGTAGCCACCGTGATTCAGTGAAGTCAAGCTACCCGGAGCATTGCTCACATCTTGTGACCTTTATGCAACAGTGAAAGCCTCGAATACTTCAATGCTCACATGTTGCTTTTGAAATATTTGTTCAGCACTAAAGACGGCTTCAATGTCTTTCTCTTCAGAAGAGTCCTTTTTGTGTCGAATGTCTCCTGTTTACCTTCTGTGGAGGGTTTTTGGGAACTTTTTCTCTCTGCCTGGCCTTACAGTTGCCGATGTGTTCTGCAGTTTATTTTGTTCCATAGTGGCACCACTGTGCACTCTGTGACTCCTCCGTATGAGACACCTTTAAGTTGTTCCTCCAGAGGTAAACTGAATTTCTCCCTCCACGGCCCATTTGTGCGAGAATCTTGCACGGTACTCACACCTTCACATTGCACCGTGGAAATGCAACAGGATTTGTCCTGCGTGTACCTTTCCTCTCCCTCTTTTCATATAAATGTAAATTTGTGTTTGGGCATTGGAACAGGTCTGCATGTGTCCGCTGGGAGGCTGACAGCCAGTGGGGAAATCAGGGTTGTTCTAGCTAGCCAATCAACAGGCTCCGGTCTGTAACCTTCCTCGCACTCTGAACAGGGTCACTGAGTCACGGCTGGTGTTACATGTCAAACTGCACGGCTAACAGTGCTGCTCTGAAGAGAGCTGAAACAAGTACAGTTTTCTTGGTTGGCTGGTTGACTCGTCAACACAGCAGCAAACAACTTTCAGTCAGTTTGAGTTCTCCAAGTCTGCCGCTGTTCTTACTGAGGGGAAAATCCCATTTTATGTACTTTAGGAGTGAGGATTTTATTACTGGACAGGAAGAAAGACAGGGTCTGAATTTTATCAGATCAAAGTTTTGTATGAAGAAAATAACCTGCAGTATGACAAACTAAAAGAACCCCTGTGTTTGTTTTACACCACAACTGTGGAATTAATCAATCATCTCAATCACTTTATCTGTGTCGCACTCCTCATACAAATAGAATGTAACACAAAGTACTATACATTAAAAAAAGAAAAAAAAACAGTAACACCCTACCTACCCCTTCAAATCCTCCCATAAAATATATATGTGTTATGAAGATTTAATAAAAAACAGAGACTAAAGGAATGCAATGAGGACATTTTTAAAAATAGATTAAAAAATATGACAACAAGAGAAGTGTTAGAAGCCAGATAAAACAGACTAAAATGTATAATTAAATAGTTAAATAAATTACAACAATAATAATAATAATAATACACAAAAAATCAAAAAACCCTCTAAACCCCAAAACTTGTCACCAGATTTTAAAGTCATTTTATTTTAAAAAAAAAAAAAAAAAAAGCATTATTTATCTACCCAGAAACTGTGAAAAAACAGAAAGAATAATCAAATATTTTGATTTCCTACTTTCCTCGAGCTACTCGTGTGTGAATATGAAAATTTAATCTGAGAAATCTGAACTTAAAATCCTAGATTCCATCAAAAAAGAAGAAAAAAAAATCTTTCTTTTTAAAAGTTTTCCAGAAACGAAGTGTCTGCACGAGCATAAATTTGTGATAAACTAAAAATCCTGTACTCCATGGGAAAACCATGAAGCCATAGTTTATTAAACTGTGATAATTTTGATAATTATTTTTTGTAAAATAAGTAATTTAAAAGGGTCAACTTTTTTCGTTCTTGTTTTATAAGTTATGAGGCATTCTAGCTTTGTTATTCTGCACAAACAACATCCTAAAGTTCTCTCTCCTTCTAGTCATGGTTGTGCTGTTTCTATAGAGGTGCAGGACTTTATATTCAAGTGAAAAATGAGCCCACAAGTAGGGGGGGAGAAAAACACCCAGAAGCTGCTTGAGGGTCAGAAGGTTAAAAGTCAAGCTTTAAAGTTCGGTCTTGAGTTTACTTTTAAAAACTATTAACACTTCCTCCTGCCCTCACGTCCTCAGGGGGGCTGATCCAGAGTTTTGGAGCATAATAGCAAAAGAAAACCTCATTGTGGGGTTTTGTGTTTGGGTTTAATTAAAAGGCCACTAGCAGAAGACCTGAGGGTTTTAGGAGGTCCGCGGGATAAAAGCAAATCCGATAAACAGGTAGGACCGAGACCATTAAGAGTTTGATGAAGCAATGAAAGGGTCTTAAAATCAATTCTAAAGCAGGCGGGTAGCCAGCGCCGAGACTTTAAAACTGGGGTAACGTTGGAACTTTTTCTGGTTTTCGTCAGCACACAAGCAGCTGTGATTGAGATGTGTTGAGCATTAAACAGTCCAACCTGCAGGTAATAGAAGCCTGAAAGTTGAGAGTTTGCTTGTTGACATCGTTTTATTGAGGAAACGTAATCTTTCTTATTTTCTCTATTCATTCTGACATGGCTGTTGCTTTTGGAGAGTTCACGTGACCCTCATAACTACCCTAAACACCACCTTTATGAACCCTTCTCTTCTGTGATTCAGGTGGCACGGAGTCGGGCGTGATGGTGGCCGACGTGTGGTGCTACATGTCGCTGCTGGACAACTGGAACCTGGTGTCCCGGATGACGGTGCCGCGCTGCAGACACAACAGCCTGGTATACGACGGCAAACTGTACACCATCGGCGGACTGGGCGTATCGGGGAACCTGGACCACGTGGAGAGGTAAAAGTCAACTAAACAGCAGCTTGTCTCTGAACAACAAACAGCAGCAGCAGCAGCAGCATCTCCCAGCTGGTGACTGCACAGTACCCAAACAGCATCTAACCCCGATTTGGCTGCCATCTCCGAGCGCGTACGTGGACAATCCTGCAGAAGTAGGTGGATGCTGAGCGGTACGGTTCGAAAGCGAATAAATATTCACACGGCGCAGCGAAAAACGCGGCAGATGGTGTGGCATGCAGCGGCGATGGTGCAGCATATTGCAAAAGTGGTTGGACAGGTTTGTTAGCATTTTCTGTGAGAGCAAAAGGTGCAGAGGAATGAATCTGGAGCTGGAGCATATTAAATGGTCACAGCTGTGAGAGGTGGCTGCGGAGCGACGGAGCGCCTCTTAGTTGTTTGTGAGAGGTGCATGAGAGAGAGGATTTGCTTTCAGAGATCAGAGCGGTTCGCGCCGTGTGTGTGTGTGACTCCATCCACTTCAGCATCAAAACATCACCGACACTTCATCTGAAGGTCGTACGCTGTGGCCTATTCAGCGGGGTCTTCGTATTTTTGTCGGCGTTTGCAGAAACTTACGGGGAGCGTAATGAATTCCTGGTGGCACAAAACATGAGCGGGGTTTGTCCGGATTTAATAGTTTGATTCATATTGCTTGACTTTTTCGGCGCCACTCCCCATTCCTTATTTTTCCCTCTAACCTTGGCTGATGAGTGCGTTTCGGCAGAGAGAGAGAGGGGGCTACCTCCCCTGCACAGCAGAGCAAGATTAACCAAAGCAATCAAAAGAACATTACTGAGTATATTAGAGCAGGCCGCTGCCGCTCATTACCTAGCAGCTCAATTGATCTCCAAAGCTGTTCGCAATGCACAACAGTCCTCCAAATGAAACAGCCTAATTTGATATTTCCCCCTAATGCTGCCATACAGTGTCGTTATGACAGGGGGTAGATGGAATATTTGCCCCGTAATGGAAACGCATTTGATTCCTCTGTCTCTGAGCTGCTTAATTTGAGAGCTGCCGATGCATCTGGGGCATTCGCCGCTCCGAAGAAATCAGCGTTTCACGGGTGCGGTGTGTTTGTACGCGCTCCTCTACCCGTGCCCTTGTGTGTGTTTTCGCGCAATCACAAAGCTTCTCCGAGGCCCCCCTCAGCAACCGGACTCAATTATCAGCGCCGTAAAACTTTAACCTACTTTGCCCCTCTTCCAAGAACCACCTCTCTCGTCTGGTGCTGCCACTTTACTGCGGAAGGCTGTGCAGATTAGGGAGAAACAAGCCACTCACCAAGCAAAGTAGCTTGAAGTTGGAATAGTTAGGAGGGAAAATGTATGGTGCCGAGGCTGAGGCGAAGCATTTGTAACACAGGGTCAGGGTTTTCACCGGCCTTATCATGTAAAAGCTAACAGGGCTCAGAAGCTATTTGGGCAAATTGTCGAAACAGTCAACGGGCTTGTTTCTAAGCAACACAGGCTTTTATTTTGTCTTTTTCAGAAACCACTATTCGGAGCGAGAGTCAAAATTGAGTCAGAAGGTCTAAAGTCTCACTGTTCTGGGAATAGAAACGTTTAAATCTATGGATGTTTGTGCTTTTAAAGAGACATAACTGGTCTATGTGCTGGTGTATTAAAACTGAAAGTGTTTTGTGTTTGAGGTTTCCATTTGCGATCCGTTACTTGTATAGTCGCCCGTTCTCCGACTGGATGCGTTGACCTGCTGTGAAAGGCTTTTGCATTAACTTCAAATGTTGATATAGCAACTCGCAGATACTCTCATTGTGAGCTGGCTATGCGTTTACGGACATCTGATTATACTCGATTCGAAGGTGTCAGCCGTTCTCGAGCATGAGGGAGGTATTGTAAAGGTTGTAAACATTTTTTTTCTTCTTGCAGTAAAAACCTGTTTGTGTGGACAAAATTACATACGCAGAACTTGTCGTGTTACGTTTTCAATAGGAGACATATACAGATCGGCTGCAGGAGTTTAAACTGCTGACAGGTGAGGTGGATAACACGGATCGTCTTGGTCTGGATTGAAACTTTGGGTTTCTGGCATTCCTGTGGATGTTGCTTTGAAACCATCTAAACAGTCTTTGTCCATCAACGAACCCAAGCAGGACAACACCACACGACAAAAACTAGTCGGGAAAAACTCAAGTAGCTCAAGCGTTGACTCGGTCTCCAAGTACTTTTACTTAAATTTTATGTTTTTGATGCCACACAGGTTTTGAATGGGCTCAAGAAACTACTCGGTATGACTAAATAGTTATTGTTATTAACATTGAGAGCACAGGGCTGCAGGGTGGCGCAGTTGGTTAGGACTTGCATGCAATTTGCATGTTCTCCCCGTGCAGCGTGGGTTCTCTCCAGGTTCTCTGTCTTCCTCCCACAAGGTCCAAAAATATGTTGAGGTTAATTGGTGATTCTAAATTGTCCGTAGGTGTGAATGTGAGTGTGCTTGGTTGTCTGTCTCTAAATGTAGTCCTGTGATAGACTGGTGACCTGTCCAGGGTGTCCCCTGCCTTCACCCTGAGTCAGCTGGGATAGACTCCAGCCCCCCATGACCCTAGTGAGGATTAAGCGGTGTATAGATAATGGATGGATGGACATTGAGAGCACAATTACCTATCAAAATGATTCATTTATTGAAGAGACAAAACATTTGTGTTATACTTCCACACTTTTGGGAAGCAGAGCACTATTTTCGCCTCCATGTTGTGCAACATCAGTGCATCTTCTGGTGGCAAAATATTCCTAAAGTTGTACCCAAAACACCTCACTTGCTGAACACCTGCTTATTGGTTTACATTCATTTCCTGTAGTTCCTTAAACGCCTCACATGCAGGCTACAGTAGATGCTAGCTCGGCGGTTGTGCACAGAGAAGCCTCTAGTCTCCACTCAGTCACTTCAGCAAAAACCACCAAAAAATACTTGGGGGGGAAAAAAAAAGTGAAACAAGATGTTTTAATGTCAGATTTGCTCAGGTTGAACCCTAATGATTTTATCTACATGAGGTTTTTTTTTCTATGAGTGAAGCAATTAGACGTCAATATCACAGTCAATCACGTTAATTTAACCGCGGGAAGCTAAAATCGTAAACATAACGTTTGATTAATTGTGCAGCCCCACTGTTTGGTAACAGACACCGAGGCAAACCTGACAGACTGAGTCCCCGATAATAATGCGTTCCGAGATGAAATACCTAAACAATGTGAACGGAAACAGTATGGGGGCAAGTGTTGCGGCTTAATACCGAATGCATGTTTGTTTTCCCGCGGAGGGATGAGCAATTTCTAAGATTAAGGAGGATTTGTGAACAACAACCAGCTGGTCTGTCAAATCAACTCAAAAGACAGGTGCTTTGAATCGCGCACAATCTCCCAATCTCGCTGAAGAGCTTAACAGATAAACAGCAGTTTTCAGAGGACGCACAAACAAGAGTTCTTCAAAACTGTCTTCATAACAAGGTACAGGACGGCAGCACCTCTGAAAAAAAACAACTCAAAACTACTTCCACCCTCGTAGAAGACCTACACAGTTCAAAACCTTTAGTGGTTTCATTTTATTTTATCTTTCTTTACAGCCTTGGCATCCTACGCACGACTATCTGGAGTGCTTACACTGAAAGTTCTTTTCGTGACCTTAAGACTTTTTTTTTTTTTTTTTGCATTTTGACTAACTTCACATCACTGCAAAGAGAAGACAAAAAAAAGGAACAGTTGAAGATCATTAAGATCACTTGCGGGCCATTTCTGAGAGCATTTGTTCATATCTGCTTTGATGAATGAGCCCCATTAACTGCTGATCCTTTATTTTGCGGCTAACTACCAGATTTGGCAGGTGTGGCTCTGCTGTGAGACACAGTTTGGCTTCTGCTGCAGCTCTGGACTGTGGGGCCAAAACTCTAAAGATAGTAGAGACTCGAACAGGGACGCAGCCAGGCCACAGCAGGACTGAAAACCCTGGCCGGTGCAGATAAGGCGAACTGTTACTCAAGCCTTCTTTTTTTTTTTTTGGTCACCTCTGCACAAAAGAAGGAAGAGCTGCATACGTTTGAAGTGCAGTTGTAATACGGGGAGTTAATAACATTCAGAAATCATTAGTCAGTGAATGTGAACGGCTGCCTTGTTTGATATGCAGATGGCTGGCGGGGATTGTTTCCGAAGGCTGGGGGAACGGCATGAAATGGTGCGACAGCGAGACTTGATTTGCTCCACTCATACGTTGATTGATGCAGATATTGTTTACACACGCTGCCAGTCTTTATTCATTATGTATGCGTCTGCATTCCTTGTCCGCGCTCGTGTGTGTGTGTGTATGTGTTGCGCGCCGGGGTGTATGTACAGTACGTACGCCGGCCCGACATGTTTGCTTATTGGCGTCTGCCTGCATGTATCAAGCCGGCACCAGCCAAGGTCTCTCACCTTCCTGCTCTGGCTCCGAAAAAAGCACTCTGACACCTAATTTGCAGTCCTCGGTGCTCCCCCATCTCTCCATCCATCTCGCTGAGGGTTTCACGCTCCTAACCATGAAATTCACCCACATTCACAATTATGTCTTCAATCAGAGCCATCTCAAAGCTGGTAGGATGCAGCCTTTCTTTGGGAACGGCAGGAGGTCCAAATCAACACTCTGAGGACCGAGCGGGCTTATTCCTGTCTCCGCTCTCTGTACTAATGACTGACAGATTTTTAGAGATGGGAGCAGTCGAGTTCGGAAGGCTTTTAACTTGCAATCAGGTACCCTGGGCCTGCATGCTCCACAGCATGTTGATCCTTTGGCAAACCAATATGATTGCAGATATTGAATAATTCATGGGTGTCTAATGATGTGTCAATCACAGATGGTTTTGTTTTATTTATTGCGCACTATGCACAGGTTTGTGCGTCCTCCGAGCTCTATTGCAAGTTAATATTGCATGAAGACTGTTAGCAACATGACACTGAGTACAGCAACTAGCTTTTCTCATCAGGGATGTTGTGCCGTTCGGCTTACAAGTCTGA